GTTACCAGGGAGCAGGGGGTGGTACTTCGCGAAGGAGGTGGGCCTTGGGCTTGACGGAAGCTTCGTGTGGGAGGCGGCGGCGGCGGCCCGGCTCGAGGGGAGGGATTTCCTGCCGAAGGAGCGCTGCGCAGGCCCTGGCCGGGAGAAAACGCAGGGCTCTTTGGAAAGGCCTGTCGGACGCTTTGGCGGACCTGGGGCACGCCTCCTCGGCCCTAACCCCAACCCAACGTGTCCCCAGGCCGGATCACCTCAACAGTCACGTCAGACAAGTGCACTCAACAGAACGGCCCTTCAAATGTGAGGTAGGAAGCCCGCCTCCTCCTGTCCTGGTTTTCATGATTTTGATCCTCATGGTAGCTGTCTGAGTTCAGCCTCTCAGACCCCCTTTTTCTCTCTCTTCTTTTTGCCTTTTCACTCCACTTTCTCATCCCTTCTTCAAGGCCTCATCATCTCACTCCCATTTCCTACAGATCAAAGATCCCCAAGGCTCTGATTCCTTTAGCCTCTTGTTCCCCTCTCCCCACTCCCCTAAGCTTTAACTCTCCTGTGACACCCCCCACGCCCCTCCCCCCTCCCCAGAAATGTGAGGCAGCTTTTGCTACGAAGGATCGACTCCGGGCGCACACAGTACGACACGAGGAGAAGGTGCCATGTCATGTGTGTGGCAAGATGCTGAGCTCGGCTTATATTTCGGACCACATGAAGGTGCACAGCCAGGGCCCTCACCATGTCTGTGAGCTCTGCAACAAAGGTACATGCTGAGGGATGCCAGGAGGGCCAGGGACAAAGGGTGGGCGTCAAGTCAGAGGCCCTTCCACAGATGTGGGTTAAGGGTGCTGTAGCCAAGAACTCATGGTGTCCAGAGCTCTTCAGGAGGTAAATAAAGCAACACTGGGGACAATTGAACGAACATCGTTAAATTCTAAGAAGTCATGGCCGGAGGAGACAATCTGCCTGAAAGATTCAACCTCCTGGGAGTGTGGGCAGTGGGACATGGCTGCTTTGGGGAAAGAATAGTCAAGAAAGCTGTGTCCCAAGGGTCAGAAGGCAAGGTTTCAGCTGTGCAGCCACAAGTTCTTGCCTTCAGCCCCTGGGGCAAGTGGAATACATCGCCAGAGGTTTAACAAGCACACACCCTGCCCCCATTAGCAGAGAAAGCTGCTTCTAAACAGACTCACTTATTCACTGAGTAACTGGGCTGAGACTGTGGGGCACTGGAGGGAGGGGACACAGCCGTATCTGCTGAGGGTCAACCTTCAAGTGGCTAGGGATCATTGTCCTGTCATCCCGGGAGAGATTTCCTAGCGATGGAAAATGAGCTTTGTAGGTACTGAGGCCGAGAAGCAGGCACCACTCAAATCGGGCCCCAAGCTCAGGAAGGGGTTGTATCCCCACCAGCCCCAGCAGAGTAGTTGGCCCCAGGCTAGCAAGTGTGTGGTGGGCGGAGGACAGGGCAGTCCGAGGAGGCGTCCCCAGCCTAGGAGAACAGCCCCGTCTCTGGGGTCTCCACCTGGCTGACCCCCATCCCGCATCCCAATCCACCCCCCAATAGGCTTCACCACGGCAGCATACCTGCGCATCCACGCGGTGAAGGACCATGGGCTCCAGGCCCCGCGGGCTGACCGCATCCTGTGCAAGCTGTGCAGCGTGCACTGCAAGACCCCTGCCCAGCTGGCCGGCCACATGCAGACCCATCTTGGGGGGGCCGCCCCCCCTGTCCCGGGAGACGCCCCCCAGCCACAGCCCACCTGCTGATGGGGACCCCCGCACCCACCAGGCAAGGCGAGGGGCATGGCTGGGGGGCGGGATGGGGTGTGTGGGACAAATGGGCTCAGGGCCCAGTAGGGGATCTTAGGGAGGCCAGGGATGCCCATCTGTCACTCAGGTTAGGGAGACTTCTGGGGACAGGGAGGACCCTCCCGGAGAATGCTCTGTCTGGGTAAGGATTCAGGCCAAAGCCTCCGGGGACCAGATAGGAAGTGAGCAACGGCTGTGTCCCAGGGGAAGTAGTCTGGGAAAGAGTCTGGGGTACTGGGCAAGGCTCTTGCCATTCAGATTGCACTGTGATCCCGTGGTGTTTGTCACTGCAGGTACTGGTGAGGTTTGTCCAATGGCAGCGGCGGCGGCAGCAGC